TGAATTATTTCCAGTTTTCGTCTGTTGCAAATTAAGCTATGTACAATTTTGTATAAATTTTTGTACGAATATATGCTTTCTTTTCTGCTGAGTAAATAGCAAAGAGTGAAATAGCTGGACCCTATGGTAGATAAATGTTTAATTTTTTTTAAATAAACTGCAAAATTGTTTTTCAAAATGAGGATACCATTTTATACTCTCAAAGGGAGAACATGATAGTGCCACTTCTTCCACATACTTACCAACACATGGTGTGTTCAGTGTTTTGAATTTTAGCCATTCTAATAAACGTGCAATGATATATGCTTGGGTGTTAATTTGTGTTTCTCTAGTGATTCATGATGTTGAACATTCATCCATTTGCTGCTATGTTATTTTTCCTGAGGAAGTTTCTGTTCAAATATTTTTACCAAGTTGTTTGTTTTCTTATTATTGAATTTTGAGAGTTCTTTATATATTCTGTATGCAAGTTTTGTTATAAGGTATATGACTTATTAATGCTTTCTCCCAGTCTGTGGCTTGTCTTTTCTTTCTCTTAATGCTATCTTTCGAAGAGCAGAAATTTTTAATTGTGATGAAGTCCAATTTATCAATTTGTTATTTATGGATTGTGCCTTGGTTTCATCCATCAAAATAATTATGCTGATTGGAAAAGCCAAAATAAACGATATATACTATACAACTTCATATATATAACTCTAGATTGTTAAAACTCTATAGTGACACACAGTGGACCAGTGAGTGCCTGGTGGGTAGAATTACAAAAGGAAAACAAAGAAACTTTGAGAGCATGAATATGATCACTATCTTGATTGTGGCGATGATTTTTAGGGTATATTTGTGACAAAAGTTGTCAAATTGTAAGTTTAAATATATGCAGTAGATTTTATGTCAATTTTACCTCAATAAATGTTGTAAACATATACATGATATGACAACATAAGTGAATATTCATCTGCTAGAAGCACAAATCAACTTAAATAAAACATGATTTATTTTTCTTATGATCATTGCCACTTGAATAGCTCTTGAATGGTTTTGTGAAGTTCTAATTCTTAAATTAGGAAAAAAAACTGGCACTCAGTGTTCATCAAAGAAGGATTCAAAGGGTAATGAGACATATGGATACGTCAGTTTGTAGTTTCCAATGATATGGTCGTCTAGCTTTTTTTTCCTATTTAACTGCAGAGACAGAACTGACCATATCTGCTGGTAATAATCACAGTTACAATATGCCATTACTGAATCCCCTCATTTTCCCCCAGGTGACTTTATTATTACACTGAATTACTGTTAAATTCTGTTTCTGTAGCTTACACTCCAGCTAGAATGTAGATGATTTTCCACAAGACTAGCCTTGGAATAACTCCTGGTCATAGTGTTCTGACAGTCTATTTAGGGAAAGAAAGAAGGTAGAGGAAAAAAATCAGTAAGTGAAGGCCAGAATATATGGCAGTGAAAACTATAATTAATTTTCTTTTATTTAGAAAAGGAAATAGTGACAATACAATCAAAATGTGCTTAGTTCCAAGATAATTTGACTTAAAAAAGATTATCACTTCTTTAACAACTAATGTGGTTGCCTTGGGCCTATAAAAGGAAAAACCATGGACAATAATGGCCTATAAATCCCAGCCCCACCACTTGCTAGTTGAGAAATTTCAAGCAAGTCATTTAACTGTATCAGATTCCTAACTTAATCTATTTATTGAAAAATTAAAGAGAAAATGTTGGTTCTTCTTTTCTTCTACCAGGCTTAAAGCTATCAATTATCTACTTACTGTGAAATGAAATTAAAAAAAAAATTACAAGCCATCTAAAAGCAATACCTAAAAGCATACTATTTAGGGGTAAGACAAATTATAGTTAAGACTTGAAACAAAGTTTAGAACAGTGATGAGGACACATATTTATTGAAAATTGGTAGATGTAAGAAAAAAAGACTCCTCTAGGTTTTACTATAACAAGCACCAATCCTATCCTTCATAACTAAACAAGGATCACAAAAGTATTGCTTTTTGTGCAGATTTTCTCTGTGCTCTTTTACCCAATAGCCCTTTCAGGTCACTAATATATCTATGTCAGTCAGATGTATCTTCAATTCTTACCACGCCCTTCAGGTTTCACATTCAAATACTATCCTATTCTTGCTTGAAACTATTCTTCACTGAGAAATCAGCTTTTCTCAGGCCTGGTTCGACTTCCTGTGTGATATCATATGCATTACAGATAATTTCATACACATACAATCCCTCCATGCAAATGAGTGTTTTTAAATTGTGGTAAAAAACATGTAACAGTAAATTTACCACCTTAACCATTTTTAAGTGAACAGTTCAGTAGTGTTAAGTATATTTGCATTGTTGTACAACAGATCTCCAGAACTTTTTTTGCAAAATTGAAGCTCTATACCCATTAAGCAACAACTTCCCATTTCCCTCTTTTCCAAGCCCCTGGCAACCACCATTCTACTTTCTGTTTCTATGAGTTTGACTACTTTAGATCTCTCATATGAGTGGAATCATATGGTATCAACTTTTTGTGATTGGCATATTTCACTTAACATGATCTCCTTAAGGTTCATCCATGTTGTAGCATGTGACAGGACTTCCTTCTTTTCTAAGACTGAATAACATTTCATTGTATGTATATCCCACATTTTCTTGTATCCATTCATCTGTCTATGGATATTTGCCTTGCTTCCTGTCTCAGCTATTGTGAATAATGCTTCAATGAACAGAAGCGTGCAAATATCTCTTCAAGATCGTACTTTCAATTCTTTTGGATACAGACCCAGAGGTGAGGCTGTAGATGAGAGAGCAATTCTATTTTGAATTTTTTGAGGAATCACCATACTGTTTTCCATAGCAGCTATACCATTTATATCCCCACCAACAGTGCACAAGAGTTCCAATGTCTCTACATCCTTGCCAACACTTGTTATTTTTTGAGTTTTGTGGGTTTTTGTGTTTTTTTTAGCAGTGGCCATCCTAATGAGTGTGAGATAATATTGTAGTTTTGATTTGTATTTTTCTAATGATTAGTGATGTTGACTTTCATTTAATGTGCTTGTTGACCAATTGCATATCTTTTGGGAGAAATATCTAAGTTCTTACCAATTTTTTAATTGGATTATTTGTTTTCTTGTTGAGTTGTACGAGTTCTTTTTATATTTTTGATCTTAATTCCTTATCAGATATGTGATTTGCAAACATCTTCTCCCATTCTGCAGGCTGCCTTTGTACTCTGTTAATTGTCTCCTTTGATGCACAGAAGTTCTTGAGTTTCTTTGTAGTCCTATTTGTATATTTTTTCTTTTGTTGCCTGCACTTTTTCCAAGAAATCATTACTAACTTAAATGTCATGAAAATTTTCCGTTTTCTTCTAGGAGTTTTATAGTTTTAGGTCTTACATTTAGGCCTTTAATCCAGTTTGAGTTAATTTTTTTATATGGTGTAAGGTAAGTATCCAACTTACTCTTTTGAATGCAGATATATAGTCTTTCCAACATCATTTGTTAAAGAGACTGTTCTTTTTCCACTGTGTGGTCTTGGCATCCTTGTTAAAGATCATTTGACCAGATACCTGAGGGTTTATTTCCAGGCTCTCTGTTCTTTCTCATTGCTGTACATGTCTGTCTTTATGCCGCTCTCACTCTATTTTAATTACTATAGCTTTGTAACATGTTTTGAAATCAAGAAGTGTGAGGTCTCCAACTTTGTTCTTCCCTTTAAAGATTATTTTGACCGTTCAGAGTCCTTTGAGATTCCATAGGAATTTTAGGATTTTTTTTCTATTTCTGCAAAGAATGCCATTGGCATTTTGATAGGGTTACATTGAATCTTTGCATTGCTTTGGGTAGTATGGACATTTTAATAATGCTATGTCTTCCAATCCATGAACATGGAATGTTTTTCTATTTATTTGTGTCTTTAATTTCTTTTAGCAATGTTTTATAGTTCTCAGTGTACAAGTCTTTCGCCTTCTTGGTTATGTTTGTTAAAGAATATTTTATTATTTTGATGCTATTGTAAATAGTATTGTTTTATTAATTTTATGTTTGGATTGCTCATTGTTAGTGTATATAAACACAACTGATGTATTGAGTGTTGATTTTGTATCCTGCAATTTTGCTTAATTTGTCCATTATTTCTAACAAATTTTTTGTGGAATCTTTATTGCTTTTTACATATAAGATCATGACATATGCAAATAAAGATAAGTTTACTCCTTCCTTTCCAATTTGGATGCTTTGTATTTCTTTTTCTAGCCTAGTTTCTCCAGCTAGGAATTCCAACTACGTTGAATAGAAGTGGCAAAAGCAGACAGCCTTGCTTTGTTCCTGGTTTTAGAAGAAAATATTTCAGTCTTTCACTGTTGGGGGTGATGTTTGCTATGGGTTTTGTATGTATGGTTTTTATTATATTGAGAGTTTCCTTCTGTTCCTAGTTTGTTAAGTATTTTTATCATGAAAAGGTGCTGAAGTTGTCAAATGCTTTTACTGCATCAATTGAGATCATGCGATTATGTTCTTCAATCTTTTAATGTGCTATATTACATTGATTGATTTTTTGTATGTTGAAACATACTTGCATTAAAAGAATAAGCACCAAAGTGATGGTGTATAATCTTTGCAATGTACTGTTGAATACAGTTTGCTAGTATTTTGTTGAGGATTTTTTTTTTCATCAATATTCATCAGGGATATGGGTCTGTATTTTTCTTGTAGTATCTTTGTCTGGCTTTGTTATCAGGGTAATGCTGGATTCATAGAATAAATTTGGACGTATTTCCTCCAATTTCCTTCAATTTTTTTGAAGAGTTTGAAGATGATTGGTGTTAATTCTTCTTTAAATGTTTGGTAGAATTCTTCAGTGAAATCATCTGGTCCTGGAATTTTCTTTATTGGGAGGTTTTGACTATGGCTTCAATATCCATACCAGTTATAGGTCTGTTCATATTTTTTTATTTCTTCATAATTTAACCTTGGTACGTTGTGTGTTTCCAGGAATATATCCGTTTCTTCTAGTTTATCCAATTTGTTGGTGTATAAAGATTCATAGTATTCTCATAATCCTTTTTATCTCTGTGATGTCGAGTAATGTCCCATCTTTCATTTGTGATTTTAGTTATTTGACTTTTCTTTCTTTTTTTTTTAGGTTAATCTACCTAAGAGTTTGTCAATTTTGTTGATCTTTTCAAAAGCCAAATCCTAGTTTCATTGATTTTTTTCTGTTGTTGTTCTGTTCTCTATTTTGTTGATCTCTGCTCTAGTCTATATTATTTCCTTCCTTTTGCCAATTTTGGGCTTAATATTGGGCTTAATTTGTTCATTTTATAATTCCATGAGGTGTAAAGTTAGGTTATTTATTTGAGATCTTTCTTCTTTTTTAATGTAAGTATTTACTGCCATAAACTTCCATCTTAGTACTGGATTTGCTGCATCTCATAAATTTGGTGTGTTGTTTTCATTTTCATTTATTTCCATACATTTTCTAATTAACCTTGTCAATTCTTCTTTGATCATTTGTTGTTTAAGAGTATGTTGTTTAATTTTCAACATATTTGTGGATTTTCCAGTTTTTCATCTGTTACAGATTTTTAGTTTCTTTCTGTTGTGGTTGGAAAACATACTCTATGATTTTAGTCTTCCCAATTTTTTTAAGGATGTTTTTATGGCCTATCCTGTGGTCTATCCTGGAGAAAGTTCCATGTGTACTTCGGAAGACCATGTATTCTGTTCTTGTTGGGTGGAGTATTCTGTATATGTCTATTAGGTCAATTGATCTATAGTGTTGTTCAAGTTCTCTGTTTCCTTATTGATCTTCTATCTTGATGTTCTATCCATTATTGAAGTTGAGGTATTGAAGAATTCTATTATTACTGTGTTGCTGTCTGTTTCTTCCTTCAGTTCTGTCAATGTTTGCTTCATATATTTGAAAGCTCTCATGTTAGGTGTGTATACATATTTATAATTGTTATATATTCCTAATAAATAGACCCTTTTATCATTACATAATGTCCTTCTTTGTGTCATGTGACAGTTTCTGACAAAGTCTATTTTGTCTAAGTATGGCTACCTTTGTTCCAGTTTCGTTACCATTTGCCTGGAATTTCTTTCTCCATCCCTTTGCTTTTAACCTGTGTGTGTCCTTAGATTGAAAACAAGTCTCTTGTCAGAAGCATATAGTTGGATCTTGGTATATTTGTTTTTTAACCATTCAGTCAATCTTTGTCTTTTCAGGGGTGTTTAATCCATCTACATTTAAAGTAATAATAGGAAAAGAGTTGCCATATTGTTAATTCTTTTCTGCGTGTCTTATAGATATTTTATCTCCTTTCCTCTTTTACTGACTTCCTTTTTGTTTTGTTGATTTTTTTGTATAGCCCTGCTTTGATTCCCTTCTTATTTCCTTTTGTGTGTCTTCAACAGGTATTTTCTTTGTTTACCGTGGGGATTATATAAAGTTATAACAATTTATTTTAAAAGATATATATTTCAAACTGATAACAATTTAACTTAAATTGCATACAAAATTTAAGTTAATTTACATCTCTACCCCACAACTTTATGTTATTGATGCCATATATTACATCTTTTTATACTGTATATCCATTAACATAGTTATATTTATTTTTATACTTTTGTCTTTTAAATCTATATCATATTTAACAGCGCTTTATTTATTATTATAATCACAGAAGTGTAACATTACAATACCACAAAGTTCTTTGTCTATATATTTACCTTTACCAGAGAGTTTTATATTTTTGTATGGTTTCCTATTATCGTCTAGCATCCTTTCATTTTAATTTGAAGGAATCCCTTCAGTATTTCTTGTAGGGCATGTTTAGTGGTGATGAACTCCCTCAGCTTTTTTTTTCTGTGAAAGTCTTAATTTCTCTTTCATTTTTGAAAGACAGTGTTTGAAAGACTGTCTTTGTATTTGAAAGAAAGTATTTTGAAAGACTATATTTGCCAGATATAGTATTATTTGTTGTCAGTTTTCTTTTAAGTACATTGAATATATCATCTCACTCCCTTCTGGTCTGCAAGATTTCTTCTGAGAAATCTGCTGATATTCTTAACTGGTTTTTGGAGTTTTAACAAAGGCAATGTTGTCTGTATATTGTTGTTAAATTGGTGTTTCCCTGGAGGAACAAGGCCCAGAGCTTTCTATTCTGCCATCTTGCTGATATCACTCAAATGTGTTTTAAAAATAATGATTTTATTCATACATTGTACTATTTTGTTACACTCTTTTCTGTAAAACATACTGAGCCTTTTGTCAGTTAGCTTGCTATAAAGAAAGGAGAACTCATTATACATATTCCAATGGAAAAGGATTTAATCTAAGAATCAGGTTATTACAAGTTACCGGATTTTTTTAATCACCTGTCTGAGTGATCTGGAGTCAGGTGGCCACAGCTAGATTAGTGAGTTCTAAAAGACATCTTCATAGCAGAGGTGAGAAATATTTTTCCACCTCCACTATCACTACAACTGCTTCTCTGAATTTCAAAAGCTGGTGACTCAGCACTGCAATACTGAAACTGGCCCGTTATAATATGCCATGTCTTCAAAATTAAGAGGATATTTTTACTCTCTTGTACTTCCCAAATGTCATTGTTTCCAACTGAAATAATTCACTCACAGAATCTTAGCTATAAGAGACTCTTGAAATTTTCATTTGTACCTTTCCACCTCCACCATTCACAAATAGGCACCAACTCAAGTGAGAATAGAGACTGAGTGCCAACAGACCACTAATACCACAGACCATCCTTTGGGTTAGTCAGTATCGAAATATATCCTTCTGCTTGTAAAGTCAAAACTAACGTGCTTATAGCAAAATAATGAAAAATTCCTCTTACATACAAAATTTTGCTTCTCTTCTTCCCAAAAGGAAACATTTGATGACCAATAGTCATTCTTTTCTCTGGGACATATTCATTTCTCCTCTAGTTTAGTCATAATCCTATCTTGAATTAAATCTCAAGTAATTAAATATAAAATTGACTAGCCAAAAAGTCAACTTAAAATAGAGGAGAATGTTCTGTGTTCTACTTATACCTAAGATGTAGAAAACTTCAAAGCTGCTCCAACTTAACAAGAAGAAAAAGCTGGTTAAACTAAAAAAATAAAGCCAAACGAAAACAACTTTTTTTGAACCCATCACAAAGTTGAAGTCACAGGGCAACTAAATAGCGTAAGGTTGACAGGGCAAGCCAATTCAAAATGGCTGGATGAGAGCATGTGCACACCCATGGCAGGAAATATGCAGTGATGCTGGGAACATATCAGCTGCTAAGAAGAATTCATTGAAACCTTTTAGCATATTGCTAAAAGCAGGGCAGTTTAGAATCCCTAAAAGCCACAGAGGTGAGTGCAGTTTGTACCCACTCACAAGCTGTTTTTCACAGATCTCCACTAGAATTCATGACAATAAGATACGTATGAAGATACCTAAAAGTTATATTGATTTTAGTTTTATTACCAAAGAGCTTTGGCATGAATAACATTCACATCATTTTATGGACACTCTACCTGAAATGTAGACTTAATGACTTATAATACATTTCATTTCTAAAACCAATTCATTTGTTCTCTGTGCCAAATATATAATTAAGAAATGTTTACTGTGAGCACAAGTAAAATTTAGGAGGCCCATTGTTTGCTGAATGGTGGAGTGATTAACTCTGCAAATCATGTTCCATCCTAAGCATTCCAAAGCTGACAAGCTTAAGCATGAAAAGCCCATTCTATGTGTATAAACATAAACCAGGTAGACCATATCAAATTTAATTACACTCTATTTTACCTTTGAATGGAGTTGCAAAGAAAACAATATAAACTATTGTTATAGTTACTTATTTATTTGCTTTGGAATGTTTTGACCAGCATCAAACATCTTCAGGTAATTAAATTTATCAAGGGTTCTATATGAAAATGAGAAATTAAGATAATTTAATGAGTTCAATATGCAATTAACCTCAGAAGCATTACCTAAGCTTTCGATGCTGCCCCAGAGTATATTCAAAAACATTTTAATTCACTATTTTATGTTTAATATATCTTTCAGCTTAAATTAGAGATCAAAATTTAGCATTTAGGCCTATAATCTTTATATGTTCTGGGTCTGTATTTAATACTACTGACAAAAACTAATCATATTAATTCACAAATGGCTTAAAAGATCAAAATGTGCAAAACCCCACTTGAGTTTAGTTAAATGATGTATAGCTTTTCTGGGAATAGGGATGTTGTATTAAAAGGAAAAGAAATCCAAATGATATCAATTATAAAGATGAAAGTATAAACCAAAATGTTTGTGGAATGTTTCATATGTAATCTCCATGACAACAAGCCCTCATAGGTTTTGTTCATGATAGCATCTCCAAATGTTTGTATGGAAGTTTCTCAATAATTATTTTGTAATGAAATGGTAATGAAGAAAGAATATAAATATTTATAGCCATGCCAAAAATTTTTTCTGCCTTATGAGATATGCCATTTCTGCTTTGAGAGGAAAGGAAAGGAAATAGAAAAAAACAAAACCACGTACTGAAGACCCAATATGTCTCTTTGCAAATATTTCTTTCATTTGGTATTCACATCAACATTGTGTGGAACTCTTTGTCTTGAGTTTCCAGGAAAGTGAGGCAAATAGTACTGAAACAATGTAACCAAGATTGTACAGTTAGAAAAATAATTAGCCTGAATGTATTTGCCAAGGGAAGTTGTTCAATTCTCTCTTAGAACTTAAATCAAGGCTACATTCACAGAACTAGCAAGCAATAGGGCGTAGGCAGTATGGTCATTCTAGCTGTTCCAATTATCCACAGCTGTCATTTCATTAAGTATATAACCACCTATTAATAAGCAAATTACTCAAAACTTTAAGAATATGTATTTAATTTTATTTGTATTGTATTAATCTTGAAGAGTTTACTTTACTTGCAGGGACTATGGTCTTTGTTCCCAACTGCCTGTGATTCTTATGTTCTTGACACAATCACCCAACGCAATTTCCTGAGAAATTAAAACCATGGGATACTCCAGCCAAATGCATTCACTTAATTCCCAGCAAAGACTTCTGATGGGAATTTTTTCCCTTCTCTGTACATAAAGAGGAGAGATAACAGCAACATATCACGAAAACTGAAGATTCGCTTGTAACCTATTCTCTCTCTTTCTTTCCCATCTGGGTACCAATATGATTCCTCTAAATGCTGCAGAGTAAAAGAAACCTCCCAGTTAGATGAAAATAGCCCCTTCTCAAGCTTTTTCTCTTAAAATTTCTTCAATTCTTTTCGGAAAACTACCGCTCTGTAGTACAAAGAAGATACATCGTTATTCTCATGACCATGAGACAAAGATTATTCTCTTGTCAGTGTTTACTCATCCATCATGTTCTTGATAGGACACTGGGCCTCAGACTGAAAATGTGGAGTCTTTTTTTATCATCCTATGTCGTGCAGTACAAATGTTGCTCTGTGTGTACTCCTCCAGGAAGATTATATCCTCTTTGCTCATAATCCTTGAAATTAAGGACCAATGTGCTGAATCATTTTATCCATTCCTAATAACAGTCTATAAGGTAAGCATAGTACGTGTAGGGAATTTTACCTTGATATTAAAGATGTAAATCTGAGACTCTCTCATTTCAATATATAATCCTAAGAATTTCATTTCATCAAAAAGGGACATCACCAGAATGATGAAAAATAAAGGTGTTCTATCCTTTGGTAGCATTTTAGGAATAACTGATGACTTTAATGACAGATCTAAATAAAGGAGAAAAGTTCCCCTATAGGAAAGTGATACAGCAAAGTGACCATATTGGCCCATTTCAAAAATATAATAACTGCTGCTCTGGCCCATTTTACACATATATTTCTTGCTTTTTAAAAATCATTATGTTAATAATAATAATAATCACTAAAATACTAAGGACTTACTCTTTCCAAGGCTCTGGACATAGAGCTTCAAGTTCATTATTACATTTAATCCTTAGAATAATCACTTTCATTATGCATTATAATTCCCATTTTATAGCCAAAGAAACTGAAGAAGAAGAACAACAAAAAAGTCATATAACTTGTTTAACATAACAGATTGAGTAAATGTTAGAGTTAGTCAAGATTCCTTTTTTCCCATTGATTCTCTATTAACCACTCTTGTATGTGTGCTGCCAGTGAGATTACTTTCAATGTGATGAAGATACATATAAGACCTGAGTACAGTTATTTAAAACTTCTGAATCTTAAATATGAGAAACAGTCTACTGAAAATATTTCTTAAATAAAATATAACATTATCAGTATTTATATTAATTTTAAATATCAAATCCCTCTATAAAAGTGATGCCAACTATTTAAAATGTAGATAACAAACTGATACACAAATATATTTTCACATTACACCTATCTATACAATTCTTTAATTGGTAAATTCTATCATCCTAATATATAACACTTTCTTCTCTTGAAAGAAAGAATAGCAAAGTCATTTTTTTGTCTCTGCTTAATGGTATTTTCTTTCCTCAAAGCCCCCGAATGCATGTTTGTATATCCTGGTTATCAGTGCTTCTAGTTCTTCTATGTGAGCTGCCTTCACAGCAGGGCAACTGACAGATGGGTGGTGTGGGTCCACAACTGGAAAGCGAACCCAGGCTGCCGAAGCAGTGAGAGCGCTGAACTTTAAACCACTAGACCATCAGGGCTGGCTCTGCTTAATGGTGTTTTTAATAATATCATCGCTATGCATATAATGGGACATGATTAAAATTAGCTTAGATTATAATACAATTATCTCATATTTTCTGTCTAATAAATTGTTTTGTAAGATTATTTGTAAACTTAAAATGAATTGATCTGTTTCATTCATCTATATTTAAATTTATTAAATACTATAAATCTATTATTAAAATATATATAATAGAAATAAACATATAAATATGTGTGAAATATAAATATATTAAAAATAAAAATAAAAATATAATATATTTATAGTATCATAAGTATATTATTGAATTTATAATGAATTAGAAATTTTTACAATATAATTTCAGGTCATAGCTTTATCTAATCATCCCTAGTTATTTTTTTTCTTCAAAGCGTAGAAACATGGGAAATTAAATTTTAGATATTTTGATAGGAGATTCAAAATATGAAGCCTATTGTAGAATTTATCATTTATTTCATATATTGCCAAGACAAGAATAGTAACTTCTGAAGACAAAATAAAAGAAGTTGGGCATTCTCCCATGTATTTTTCTTGTGAAATAGCCAACTCTCTAAACAGTTACTGCAAACAATATAGTTCAGAGCATTTATCTTCATATCAATATTGCATAAGTAAACAATTACAAACATGAAAACTTATAAATTGTTATTAATAAAGCTGCCTCAAAGAAGAAAATCTTAACTTTTGTTTGACCTGATTTCTAATTGTTTCATAGGATTACTAATTTTTTTAATTTTAATTTCTTTTATATTTCATCATTTGAAGAGATAATGGATACAGCGAAAGCAGAGAGAGATATGGTTGACTAGTTAACTTTCAACAACAACAAAGCATATTTATGAGCCTAAGTTGATAATTTTTTATATTCTACGAATGTTTTTACAAAAAGTCTTTTTGAGGAGCTCAGATGATCCAGAGATATTTCAGAAGCTCTCAGTTAAACGACCATAGAAATCATTTACTTTGTTTATTTGTTCTTATCTTTTATCTGGATTCAAACACAAATCATAATAGAAGGGAGCATATAGCACTTTTTAAATAATGCTCAAATAAAGGAGAAAAACTTATAATTATTCCATGTGTTCATATAACAAGGGGGTTATATGAAAGGTTTTATAATATTCCCAGAATAATAAAATAGAGCACAGATGTCTCATCTGCATCATAAAAACACCTGACTAGAATTTAAGATTCCTGTTGTGTGGAAAGTTGGTCATATGCTGTTTAATTTCCTTCTGGAATATTTTTAAATTGGTTGAGAAATATATATATTTAAAGCTCTAGAGAAAAATAGAAATATTTATTAAAAATGAAAGAAATGTCAAGGAACTGCCCCATATTTTCGTAAAATAAATTAACATAAAATTCAAAATATTTTCCTTTTAAATATGCAATCCTCAATTTGACTTCTAATGATTTTTAAAAGTGATCCATAAATCGAAATATACCTAAAAATATGTTTACTTTAGCAAAAGTATCAAATCAGTTATGAGCCTTTATACAAAATGAAATTTGTAGGCAGAAATTCCTTTGGGATCTGTTGTTCTCTATGTGCAATCCTAGTCATATGTATTAGTGGTGAGAGAATCGATTTAAGGTTTTGAGAGTAATCCATGTATAGCATTTTGTTGTGTTAAGGTACACATATTTAACCCAGCTAAGACTGTTTAAAGTCTTCACTAATTTTCTGGCCATCAATGGATAGAATTATCTTCCATGACGTAGTATAAATATGTTATAGCTTATCTGCCCACAATGTTTTCATCTTTCAGTTAACAAATACACAATTTTTCTTGGGGAATTAATACACCCCCAATGGATGTGGTTTTTGTGGGCTACCAGTCATAGTATCACACAAAAAAGTTCAAAATTGATGGACCTATGATCCATACTAGGTCAATTCAGTCCTAGATCCCATGAATATACAAACCCAGGGACTGAAGATAATTTGAGCTGAGTTGGCTAACGGCAAACTTTAGTAAGAGGGTTTTTAAGCTTGTTGAGATTCCTGGATCTGCCTTAGCTTTTCCTTGGACTTGATCCTGTGTTTCACTGTTTCATAATTAGTATGGGCTAATCAGAATCCTTCAAATGAATGCACTTTTCTTGCTTTAATTAGTTATAACTGGTTTCTATTGTTTTAACCAAATTATGTGATGCATTTTGTCAATATAGAAAAATCCTTCTGAGTCTGATAAACCCAAACCTATTATTCTTTCTTATTTACTTTCATTTCACAGATAGTTAAGAAATCAATGCCTTCAAAATTTTGTTTCATTTGGCCTGAGTAAGTGCAACCTTAAGTAGAGAGAGAGAGAAAGAGAGAGAAAGAGAACACTCTAGAATTGATTGGATGTGGTAAATGCGGGCTTCTAAGAAGCCTGTAAAAGAGAACATAGTAAAATTAAATTGGCAAAAACTGGTTGTGGCACGAGTTTGTATTTAAGGCAGCGATGACTGGTGAGAAAGGCATAATCATCTCGTTCTACACGATTGCTGCAGATTTCTCTCTAGTTATTGTACAACTGTTCTTTGTGCTTCTACCAGAGATGACACCTAGTCTTATTTACAATGGGTTGGATAACACCATTCACAATTTGAAGCTATAGACAGAATGACCTATGGAACATATAAACTACCTGTATCCAAGCCCCCCTGCCCCTCCCTGCCACCTCCTTCAATACTTTGACGCAATCACACTTCTCTTAATCCTTAGTTCAATGGTGTGCATTTGTGGGGATATGTAGATTTGCCTGTGACAGTCCTGGTTTTATGCTATTGTTTTGGTTTAACTATTAATGGTACTATTATTAAAAGTGTCCAGATGTGGATGAGAAATTATGTGCTCATCTTACTATCGGACAGTTAACAACGAGGTAAAGAGGTTAATGGAAATTTTTTGGGAAGAATGAGGAGCATAGCAGAGTTTACTATTAGAATTACTCACACTGCAAATAAAGATCCCCAAGCAAAGAAAAGTAAATTAAAGTTGTAGTTAAAATGTTTAGCTTCAAACGTACATTTTTGAACGTGTATTCTGAGTGAAAGTATAAACTGAATAATATTCACATGAGCAATTGGAGATGTTTCACATATAGCATTGAAAAGAAAACACCGTGTGTGTGTGTGTGTGTGTGCGCGTCACAGAAAGGTAACTGGAATAATCATTAAATAGGTTCTGGACAAAAACCTGAACTTTTATCTCCTTATGCTGCTGCCCATTCAGTGATCTTATATGTCAGTACCCAGGACTTTTGCAGCTTGATTGACAAAAAAAAAGTAATAGCATTATGTGTGCATGCATAGAGATAATTCCTCAGCTACTGAGCTGAGATACAAAAGATACTGTCCCACTATTTATTTTAGAGTTGCACTTTTAATTAACGTGAGGATTTTGAATTATTTTTGACATGCTTCTTTACAAGAAGTATCACATATAAATAATTCTAGATAGGTTTTCTTGTTCTCATAAAAAACAACCACAGCATAAGAAAGCACATCATATAAATTTGCTTAGTCATGCATAGCTGGAATCAAGCAGTGCTGGGTTTACACTTAACGTCATATCTTAGCTTAGTAATATCACCATGCCGCTGGCATTTTATGGGGAATAATTACAGGAATACAATGTACCTGTCTTTCTCCCACAATTTATGCATTTTTAAAAAATTAAATACCTTAAAAGAGGTACATCTTACTTGTTTAATTATTTGAAAATAAAATGTTAAGTATATTTATTTTCTCCTTTTATTGCTATTATTTGCTTGTATTTACTCTATGACTTGCTACTGAGAAAGTTTACAAAACTCCTGAATTTAAAAACAAACACTTGAATATTTAAAATTTCTTCTGCGAATTTTCTAAATTTTTCCAATATAATTTGGGCACTTACAGCTGACTTTTAGCATAGATAAATATCTGGTTTCCACAAATGACCTGAGAACCCTTGTAGATGTGACCATCTTATGAAAATGTATTGATGTTTCCTCACAAATCTCAGGGAGGTAGAATGAAAATAAAATATATTTTAAAACAATATAAGTAGGCATAAATGTAGAGAAAAAAACTAAGATAGGAACAAGCAAACAAAAAAAGCAAAGAATGGAACTACAAGTTCCATATTAGAGGAAAATTCTCTACTAGCTGGGGGTAGTCAGTAAATTTGCTTCTGCGTTTCGAACGATAAATATGGAGGAACACATCTGGTACCGTCATCCTCCCCCCGCCCCTGACACACCTACACCCACACAGGTTCTAGTCTACTATTATCTCAAGAATTGTTCTGATTAATTTTCTAGATTGAAGATTCTAAAAGAGTGAAGTGTGCTACTTTATTTCCTGTAACTCTCTTTTCATTTTAGAGTTAGAACTATGGATTAAGAAGTGCTGGGCAACCTAAAGGTTTTAGGGTTAATATTACTAAGGATATTGTTATTTAAAGTGGATTTCTTTATTTACCTCAAGAAGGATCAGAATTTCATGTGTATTGTTGGGCGTTTATACCATCTGGTCTTAGTTTTATTATTGGTTTAAAAAAAATGGGTAATTTTTTTACAATACTGGGTTTGTTTTTATGTTTTAATTTTGACATAATTTCAAACTTAGAGGCAAATGGCATGAGCAGCACAAAGAACTCCCAGATATTCCTCGCTCAGATTTCGCAAATATTGACCTATTATTACGTTTATTCTATTCTTTGTCTTTTTATATTTGTTTGTTTATTTATAAACACACAGTTCCTTAATTGCAAGTTGATGATATCCCCTTACTCTTCAGTACATCAATAGGTATTTCTTAAAAAGAGGACTTTTTAATATTACCGTAGTAAAATTATCAAAATCAGGAAATGTATGTTAACATAATACTATTATGCAATCTACCGACTTTAGTCAAACTTCACCAATAACCTAATGATATTCTTTACAGCAAAAGAAATCAAACATCACACGTTACATTTACCATGGATCATAGGTCTCTTTAATCTGGCAAACTTGCAGAGTAATTCTGTGTATCTCATGATGACGTTTTCCAGGGGTGCAGGCAGTTGTTTTGTAGATCACCTCTCAATTTGTGTAATGCTGCCACATGATTAGATTCAGGTCATGCCCTTTGGGTGGGAATAGCACAGAAGTGATCCTGCATCCTCAGTGGTTTGTAACTGTACGTGGATGCTGTTGACCACTCCTGTTACTACCCATGCTAACTTTGATCACTTGGTTAAGGTGGTGTCTACCAGCTTTCTCCACTGTGACTTAACTATTTTACCCTTTTCTTAAGAGTTAATAGTTATTGTGAGGAGGTATGTTAAGACAAAGAAAATATCTTATTAGTCTTCAAATGTCTACCCATCAGCTTCACATCCATTGTTGTTTCTTGCCTAAATCTATTATTGTGATGTAAAATTCCATGTGTGCTTGCAAATTCTGGACTTTCTATTTTATTGCAAAGGTCTATCTTTATATTCATGTGCGCATATCACACTGTTTTAATTATAGAGGCTTCAGAGTATGTTTTATTATCTGATATTTGGAGTCATCTCACATAGATGTTTTTGCTTGTGTATGTGTATGTGTGGTGTGGTGTGTTTCCCTGCTATTCTTAAATATTGAGATTTCCATATGAAGTTTTACATCAAATTTTCTAGTTCCAGTAAAATATATGTTAGTGTTTATATTGGGATTACATTTAACTTATGAATTAATTTAGGAAGATCTGAGTTCTTTATTATATTGAATTATTGTATCTAAGAACAAGAAATGTCTTTCTACTTGTTCAGGTCTACTTTAATGTCATTCAGAAGTGCTTTAAAATTTTACTCATATAGTAAAATTTTGCATATTTTCTGTTAAATTTACTCTTAGTTTCTTATCTTCTTTTCCGTTATTTTGAATAGTTTTTTCCCCTCATTATATCTACTATTATTTATGTATATGGAGACTATGGATTTCCTGTTAGCTACTAAGAAAGCTTGTAAAACCCTTGAATTAAAAATCACAATCTTGATGAGTCAGCCCTCATGGCCTAGTGGTTAAAGTTCAGCTCGCTCTGCTTCAGAGGCCAGGTTTGGTTCCTGGGTGCAGAACCACACACCCACCTGTCAGTTGCCATGCTGTGGCAGTGCTTCACGTAGAAGAACTAGAAGGACTTAGAACTAGGATATGCAACCATACACTGGGGCTTTGGAGAGGAAAAATTTAAAAAATAGAGGAAGATTGGCAACAGATGTTAGCTCAGGGTGAATGTTTCCCAGCAAAAAAACAAAAATACAATCTTGAATGTTTAGTTTGTCCATTGAATTTTCTAGTTTTATTCAGTATTGTTTGGGCATTTACAGCTAATTTAACATATAAAAATGTTTAGTTTTCACAAACTTTCTATCTGTTTAAAGAACATTTGTAGACATGACTATTTCAGACTATTTTCTGAAAATGTGTATATTTTGTCCTTATTTTCCCTCATAAATTGCCAGGAGATAGAGGGAATGTAGCACATTCATTTTTGTGATGTTATAGCTGAATTCAGGGGTGGCCTGGCAGCTCCATTATGCATGGTTATCCTCTCCTGAGAGCCTCCTCTGTGTTGATGTATCTTGGTGGGGAGTTCACCTCCACATCTTGACCTCTTGACTGACTTTATTGAATTCTTTTACTCTTTGAGTTAATTTTATCATTGTTTATCTGGGATTTTCCAGATATCTGATTGTATCATAGAGATTGTTTTATTTCTTGTCTTTTAATTCTTATTCTAGTTGGTTTTCCTACTTAATTGAATAATAGTGGAGACATTGGACACCTTGCCTTGTTTCTGATATTAGTGGAAATGCCGCTGTTTTCCCCAAAAAGAAAGCTAGTGTATTTAGGAATAAGAGACATATGCATGTAAGCATATAATCATCATAGGAAAGATATCTTTTAGTTCCCATTCTCTGATTTTTTTTTTTTAGTTAGACATGAGTATTGAAGTTCATCAAAAGCTTTTTCTACATCTATGGAGATATTTATATGATTTTTTTCCCTTAAGTGTTAATATAGTGTGTTACATTAATGCAGTTACATTATATAAACAGACTTCCTAATGCTGAAGCAACTTTGAATTCCTGGACTAATTTTTACTTGAGCTTCATGTATCATTTTTTTACTGTGATATTTATAGAGACTATTCTCTCACATTATATATGGAATTTTTGTCACGGTATTTGTAAGTGTTACTAGTCTAAAATTTTTCTTTTTCTTTTTTTTGTACTGTCTTTATCTGGTTTAGTTATCAATATTATATTTAGGAACAACTTAGATACATTGATAATACCTGGCCTTGGAGGTTTGGTAGATTCCTTTGTGATACCATCTTGCCCTTTTGCTTTTTCCTGGCGTAGTTTTAATAACTTTCTTAATATCTCTAAGGAAAATTTATGAGGTGAAATTTTCTATCTTTAATGTGGTTAATTTTGGAAAACTGTATTTCCCTAGGAAATTCTCGAATTCCTCTAGGTTTTCCTATTTATTTGCAAAAAGGTCTCATAACTTTTATAAAATTTACTTTGTTTGAATGATTATTTTCCCTTCAGAAATTTTTATTATGTTTTTGTGTATTTTCTCTTTTTTCTTTAATTAAAATTTTTAGCAATATGTCTATTTGTTAATCAGGATCTATGCACATACCCGATGAAAAGGACCAACAATCATCCAAATTTCTTGAATTTTAAGATGGATGAAGTAAATAGCTGGGCATTTGAGAATGTTTTCCTTGGAGAAGAAGTGAGCCTTTCATATGTCTGGGGAAGGGCATACACACATCTTTTGGTCACCAAAGTGATGCACTGAGTTAGCAATTGATAGCTGTGTTAAAATATTCATTTATTGTTTCTCTCCATCTATAGTCTTCCATAGAAATGGGAGAGTCACCGGTTAAATCAGCGTATCATCACATAAAAGAAAAACTACATTTCTAAGCTCCCTTGCAGCAAAATTTAGCTATTGGTTAATGATGAGTAATACATGCAAATTCTAGGAGATGCCCGCAAGGAAGGGAATAAGTTTTTAGGTCTTTTCTCCTTTGCTTTCTATCTTAATGTTGACTAGATTTTGGATGTTGTGTCTAGAGCAGCCATTTTAGACCCTGAAGATGATCTTGTGGATGGAGTTTACGCACAGGGATCAACTAAAGATAAAGGATATCTGGTTCTCTGATGCAATACATACTACAGCATGTGTGGAGAAATAAATGCATGTCATCCTTTTGTTTGGGGATATTTTGAACTTTAATAAGTGGAATCGTAGTGGATACTGTTTTGAATCTTCTTTCTTTTGCTTGACAATATGCTTGTTCAAGGTATACATTTTGTGGAATATAACAATACTTTGCTCATTTTTGTTACTTATATCCTAGTCTATTGGATGAATTCCCCAAAATTTCTTTAGGTATTATACTATTGATGAGCATTTGATCTGTTTCTACTTTGCAGTTAATGCTGCTATGAAGATTTTCTTGTATTTCTCTTTGGTAACTGTGTGTGTATGTGTGTGTGCACTCAACTGATTGATATATATTTATATACATAATGTTTATATTATATATATACACACACATACAGGAGTACAATTGCTGAGTGATAGGGTATAATTATGCAAAGTAAAGGCGGTTTTCATAAATATATTGCCTATTTCAATACTCTTGTGAAATTCATATTAGTACTTTTGCCCATTTTTTTCCTATTATTTATCTTCCATTTTCTTACTGATTTGAAGCTTCTACCATATACTCTGGATATGAGCCTTTTGTTGGTTGCATGCATTTCAAATAATTTTCCACTTTTTGGCTTGATTTTTTCCCCACGTTAATGGTAATTTTAATGAGTTGAAGTTCATCGTTTTAACGTAATCCAAATTATCAATCTGTTCCTTAATGGATAGTGTTTTGGTGTGTTTACCAAAAAAAAAAATTTATATAATGCAAATTTTTGTAAGCTTCCACAAGCTTTATTTTTAACTTTTACTTTTGAATCTGCCTTCCAACTGAGATGGCCTTTTGGGAAATGTTGTGATATCAGGGGTATGATATGGTGTGTGGTAAGGATTATGATATTTTTTAATACCATACGGATATTCAATTGACCCAGGACAATTTCTTGAAGAATCCACCCTTTCTTACTCAAGTGTCCATAAATATGTTGACTTGTTTTGAGGTGTTCTCTGTTGTTCGGTTTGTCAAGGTAATTGTCTATTTTTCCAGTACTATATTATTTTATATATTTCTGTTATATAAAACTATATTGTTTATATTAAAACTACTACTCTAACTTTAAGTTTGACTGATGTTAAATGGTTTAAAATTCTCACCATTTTCTTTTTTTTTCAATATTTTCTTGACTCATCTCGGGCCTTTTATTTCCTGAGAATTTTAGATACAGTTTGATCTTCTTAATCTGTTGTGTAGAATTTGAGTCATTAACATTTCAAACACTGTATCCATCCTATTCACACTCTCCTCTTCTTTTAGGATTCTAATCACACGTATATGAGAGCCTCTTTCTGCCCCATCTGATATTTGTGCTTTTTTTCTTTATGTTTCTATTTTCTTTTAGTGCTTTTACCGTATCTAATTTGTTGTTAAGCTCAACTATTTACTTCTTAATTTCAGCTATTGTTTATCGCTCTAGGCCGTGAAAACCCTGTGAATAGAAGCGGAGCACTGTCTGATACAGCGCCAGAAAGTGAGAAGATGGAGCAAACAGACTGGGCAGGGTTCTCCTCTGCTATCCACAGGGTCGCTAGGAGTCAGAATCCACTCAAGGGCACTAACAACAACGTTGTATTCCCACAGTCATTTTATGTGCCTTTGTTTTTTAATGACAGTCCCTGTACATGAAAAATTCTAAATAATTTGAAACTATTGGTGATGTTATTTTTCCACTTGAAAGGATTAACTTTAGCCTCTGCTGAGCAGTTTGCACGGGATAGTTATCTTAATCCAATCAGATATTGAGTTTATTTGAAGCTTGGTTTCATTTTTTTTAAGCCTTATTTATTTATAGCTTGCTCTTACTCTTACGCTAGAGCCTTTGAATCTTCAAGGGAAAACCTGGAGTATTTACACTGGTCCCTTTTCTGTAGTGGCCCCTTAAACCTAACTTTTTACTTACAGTGCTCTGAACCTCGTAAATGTGCTGTTCTCATAGCAATTGCTTCCAAACCGACAGAAGTCTTTTTTTTTTAAATTTTTTGTTTATTGTAGTAACATTAGTTTATAAC